TAGATTAGATTAATATTCATTATTTATTTAATTTGGCATGGTGTAAAGAAGTGGGATTTAACTTGGCGCCAGTTCTTTATATCAAATCTTTTTTACGAATACTAGCACATTCCCTGCGCGCCCCGAGCAGAAATGAATCTAGCCGATCTGATTTACCATCTAGCCACTAGACAGCATTAACTAGATAAGATTTCTAACTCATCACTGGATAATCACTAGCTAATATTTCGAAATATCAATAAATCTGTCTAGTAATTGCCTAGTAATTACGACGTTACACCTACGTACATCTTATTTACTGGGCAGCCACTAGACAGATTTCTTGACACGAAAAAATCTGTCTAGCGACTGCCTAGTAATTACGACGTTACACCTACACCTCATTTACTGGGCAGCCACCAGACAGATTTCTTGCACGAAGTAAAAGTAAGGAGACCGAACTCCAGCTGGCCGATATAGCCCCATTCGATGTGCGTTAAAGGGAGGGAATCCGCTAGAAGGAACAGCTATTTTCAAGTCGCGTAATAGTGTAGTTTTCTATCTGTGTTGTGTCCGTGAGTCTATTGAGTGGTGTGCGTGTAAAGCAGCTGGAGTAGCTGTCATAGCAATAACAATGAAATAAGTAATAAATGATCAGTATACGAAGTATATGATCTCCGTAATTTCTGTAGAGGAGAAAAATATAAGACGTTCGTTTTGTCTGTACATATTTGCAACATCTAACACTTTGTAATTACGATGTTAGAGTGAAATATATTTACTTTAATTATTTTTATTCTTACCGTAAATGGTCGGAACCGGCTTATTTTTTCTCCTGCTGCATTTTTCCCTTTCCGAGTCGTGCAATCTCGAATCCAGCAAGACATCTTGACGACAACAGCAGGAATTGCACAGATTTACATTCGTGTCCATTCGTGTCCGTACTGTATACAGATCTGAGACCCGTGAGGTTACCTTCCGTATACTATAGTAAACAACAACACACTTCCACAAATAAAATGTTCACACCGACATGATCATGAACGGGACGATAACACATTGACGCGAGTTGGAAAGTCAGTTTCTTCCAGCGGATTCCCTCCCCTAGCGCACATTACTCAGGGCTATTTTTTCTTCCCTAGCCGACCCGAGTTCGGTCTCCTTACTTTTACTTCGTGATTTCTTGACACGAAAAAATAGGAAAAAATTTTTAACATCTGATGGGATTTGAACTTGTGACTCCATCCACAGGCTGCTTCTGAGTCGCTCACCTAACGTACTGCTCCACTGCTACCTTGTCGATAGAGACGTTTCGAATTGTCCATATACATTATTCAGCACAAATATGATTTAATATCTAGTAACTAGGTAGAATACCGACTAGATAAGTTTTCTAACTCGTCACTGCATGAGTAGTCACTAGTTGTATATTTCGTAACATCAATAAATCTGTCTAGTGACTGCTTAGTAATTACGATGTTACACCTACATTTTATTTACTGGGCAGCCACTAGACAGATTTCTTGACACGAGAAAATCTGTCTAGCGACTGCCTAGTAATTACGACGTTATACCTACATCTTATTTACTGGGCAGCCACTAGACAGATTTTTTCGTGTCAAGAAATGATTTTGAAGCAGAAACAGGCATCATATTTTTAAAGATGTTAATATGAAAAAACTGTAATTAAATCTAATAAATTTATTGTAATAAATTTAATTACAGTTTCTTCAGCAAATTAACATCTTTAAAAATATGATGCCTGTTTGTGCCTCGAAATCATTTGAAATTTAATTTAC